CACACATATGTAGCGTCTGGAGTCTAATATTCGTTCAGATTTTGAACGAGCGCGCTGATTGGTTCTACTCGTCTAAACCCTTTTTTGGGTGTGTACATATTAGGTAAGGGCTGTTCGGATGTCCGAACGGCGACGTTAGCGTCCGTTCGAACGTCCGAACGCCTTATCATTAACATGTCCGACGGCGAACCGAACGCTAAAGCACACATGATATAGCCGTAGTCAGTCTTTCCGCGATAAATCATCAACATGGCTGACGCACAAGCCGCTCAGCTCACGGAGGTTGATGTTGACCTCGCAATCACGTCCGTTTTGGACGATTTAGACGGAATATCGTCGCTCAAAAATGAGAAAAAAGATGCATTGAATAATTTCGTTCGTGATGTTTTGGGCGTCCTACCGGTAAAAAAAAGAACGCGCCGAGAAAAGGAACACTCGCACGAAGATCTGTGTTTACAAAACAACAAACATCACTTGAATAATGCAGGCGCGACATTGGCCGTCGCCTCTGAGGCTTAGCCAATCAAATGAAGCCCCCCTGCACGGGCTAGCTCATTACGTGACGTCATGACCAATCGTTTTATATGTGTGCAAGTCCAGACCCAGTTATAGAGTTTGCGAATATACTACTGGGGATGGTACCCAGGCTAGTTACTTTCACTATCTGATATAAAACCTTGACTCAAAGTTCATGAACAGATGTCAAACTCAAAGGCTGCCTTGCATTCTTCAAAGAAGCATCATCAAAGATAGCTTTGAGAGAACTTTGTAATACATGTATAAAAATTAGTGCTACTAATACTGGAACATTTTTTTTAAAACACTCAATGTTTCAATGAACTAAACAGCAAAGAAACTAGTGCAAGTAAAACTTGTCTGGTGCAGGTAATTTCAAATGTTGCCTGTACCAGTGTAGGTATGCAGAAAAGTACCTGTTAGCATTTACTTCACTTATGTCCGTTTTTACCCAGAAATATGAAGATGTGCAAAAGGAGAATCCTGCTATGAGCCTGACAGAGTTGGCTGCTGTGCTCTTCAAGATGTGGAAAGAACTGGACGACAAGGAAAAGCAGATTTACAAGGATTACTACTACTCTGAGAAGGTTTATTTGTTTGTTTGTTTTGCCAGTAAACCTTCTGTAGGCATTTCACACGAGTTTTGCACAGTAAATACAAACTACATAAGACCGGACTAAGGTTTGATCTACTCACACTGGGAAGGACCCATACTCTTGTGGATAAGTGCGGTAGGATCTTTAACGTGCTCAAGGTGTGGCTGTCTTAAAACAACAATGCATGGATTGCCATGAAACTTGGTAGATGATTTAATTGTAACATCTGTTGCTCCCTGTCTTCCCGGGTTAGGTGTGCTTGCACACTGATGCTGAGGCTTGACGGCATTCCCTTTCACTGTTATACCCATACTGAAGGGCTATCCTCAAGCAGTGAAGCAAGATCCTAGCACCACTCCCAAAATGTTTTTCCAAGTTAATATTTTCATGAAAATTTGTTGATTTATTATCAACGCACAAAGGAGCACCTCTCCCCAAAGAATTTCTCGGGAGACCCCTGCATACTCGCTGTCCCGTAAGTCTAAATCTCTGATTTCTTGTTTCGCGCTGCAGAAGGTGTACGAGGCCGACTCGACATCGTCCCCGGCAACAGAGGTGAAGGAGGAACCAGTCGACGAGGACTCCATGGAGGCATTTCTGAAGGAGCTGCAGACTGAGGACGACACAGACATACAGCTGGACGAAGCAGAGTCATCGCTACAGGCCATTCAAAATGAGACGGAAAAGGAGCTCAAGGTGAGTTCAGGGGGGGGGGCATTCGTCTTGGGGCCGCATTCATGTTCCCCAAACCCATCCAGACTAGTACTAGAGTTTGTGAACTGTCTTCAAGATCCCCTGCCTTGTTTTGTGCTGACAAACTGACACACAGCTGGACGAGGCAGAGTCTTCACTACAGGCCATCCAAAACAAGACGGAAAAGGAGCTCAAAGTAAGTATAGGGGAGTGTTTGTCTTTTTGGTCTTGTATGTAATGTAATTTGATGTAATTCTATTTCTTTTATGTACCTGTGTCCTCTCCCAAAAGACTTAGTCATAGGTAGACAGCTAAACTAGAGGTTGAACTCCAAAGAAACTGCAATAGTGTTAGGCTTCATTCATGTGTACAGAATCACTTACTCACTCTCTCTCTCTCACTCTCTCTCTCTCCTGACTTGATTCCGAATCCCTGTATCATCCGAACATCAGTGTCCACATGTTTAGATGTGTGTTTGTTTCCAGTGCTGATAATTATGTTGTTTTCCCCTGCAGTGTTTTGCACAGGACACTATGAACGAACTGCTGGGCATGTCTGGATGTGTGAGTTTGTTTCATGCTGATGTGTTGTTTTCTCCCAAAGTGTTTTGCGCAGGACACCATGAACGAGCTGCTGGGGATGTTTGGTTACGATGGGGTGGATGAAGACGAGGCCAGCAGCCTTCAGATCAGCTCCAGTTTCGTCCCGACCCCCCCAGCCCCACCCCCTGACTCTGCCTCCACCCAGGGGGAGGAGATCAGTGCTGCCCCCCAGGGGTGTTGTACGTGGTGTAAGAAGAAGAGTACAGCACTGGACTTTGTGCTGAAGGTTAGGAGAACGGTTTTCGATTCTCTATGAATGATCAGGGTTCTCACCAGGATTATTTTACAGCATTGGGGTCTTTTTAAAAAGATTTTATGGAGGGTCAAAAGTTTCTCCCCCTAAAAATCACCCTAAGCTGGTTGAAAGACAATGTAGGGATCAAAATCACAATGTAAGGGGCATCAACTGTCAACTAGGGTAGTGAGAACCCTGAATTTTTTTGCATTGGTCAGAAAGTTGAAAATTGCGATCATTTGTTCTGGATATGTTGGTCAAGCAAGTTAGCTGGTGTGTTACGCCGAAAGGCGGTTATACCGGCTATACAGATACAGATACAGATATGTAATACCTGTGCAGTTCTGTATAATTACTCATGTCCAAAGTGGTTGAGTCTTTGTTGAAGTACAACTACTGTTGTTTCTATGCACAGAAAACACAACTGCTGAAGCTACTCTTCATTGTACAAATGTAGTTACATGATTGCTTCCATGCACAGATGCAGGATGGGAAGACGCAGGCCTACTGCAGCGCCGAGTGTCTGGCCCGAGGAAAAGTGGCGATTTCCCGCCTAACGCCCAAAGCCCTGGCTGAGAAAGTCAGCAGCGCTGCTCAGTCCCTCAGCCATCAGCGATGCTTCTTCTGCCACCGGCTGTTCCGCCGAGGCGGCGACAAAACCTTCCCCACACGGGATGGGAACAAGGTCTTCTGTAAGGAGCAATGTGCGGAGTCGTATGATAGGAGCAAGGTCGCCAAACTCTGCGAACAGGTTAGGTTTGGTGTGGATTTTTGTATTATTTTTGTTGCATGTTGTGTCTGGTGAAGATAAATGTGTAATGTGTACTATACTCAAAAATACTTGTTTGACTTCTTGGTTTTTCTTGTGTTTCAAAATGCACAGCTCTGTGTATGTGTGTGTGTGTGTGTTTTAGCTTTGCAAAAGGATAGCATAGATACAATGTTCTCTCTTTCTCTATCTGGTTTACGTTGTTCCCTGTAACCAAGGTTTAGACTTGCTTGCACTCTGATGCTGGGGCTTGATGGTATGATAGCTCACCATTTGCCTCTGTCCTGTGGTTCTTGCTTCTAAATAAGTCTCACAAAATGTCCTCCTCCCCCCCCCCAGTGTAAGAAGGGTGTTCCTGGTAACAATGCCTCTGTCCTGTGGTTCTTACTTCTAAATAAATCTCACAAAACGTCCTCCTTCCCTTCCCCCAGTGTAAGAAGGGTGTACCTGGAGACAAGGCCATCACCTCCAAGGGGTGTTCCCTGTAACTGAGGGTTAGACTTCCTTGCAATCTAATGCTGGGGCTTGACAGTAGCTCGCCATTTGCCTCTGTCCTGTGGTTCTCACAAAATGCCCTCCTTCCCCCCAATGTAAGAAGGGTGTTCCTGGTAACAATGCCTCTGTCCTGTGGTTCTTGCTTCTAAATAAGTCTCACAAAATGTCCTCCTTCCCCCAGTGTAAGAAGGGTGTACCTGGAGACAAGGCCATCACCTCCAAGTATTGTTCCCTGTAACCAAGGGTTAGACGTGCTTGCACTCTGATGCTAGGGCTTGATGGTAGCTGATGGTTCTTACTTCTAAATAAATCTCACAAAACGTCCTCCTTCCCTTCCCCCAGTGTAAGAAGGGTGTTCCCGGAGACAAGGCCATCACCTCCAGAGGGAAGTTCTTCTGCTCCCAGGTGTGCATCACGGCGCACCAGAAGTCCCAGGCTCGGCAGAACCGTGTGTGCGAGAACTGCAAACGGCCGGGGACAGCCTCCCAGAGCTACACCATGGCAGTTCCAGGGGGCTTCCCCAACAAGACTTTCTGCAGCCAGGTGGGATGCGTTTTATTACCTCCACCATGAAAAATGTAGATATTGTTTTTGTGTTTCTGCACATTTGTAGTTTGCATAACTTCAGAATGCCTTTATGGATTGTGATAATATTTGGTATGTTGGTAGGTTGTAGGAAGATAAAGGTCATGTACGACCTTATTTCCATAATCAATAAAAACAATGTATGTAACACTGTCACTTTTTTTAACTTAAGACTTATTTTAGTGTTACCAGTGTCCGTCTGTTTTGATATCTGCTATGATATTAATTTGCACTTGAAACGTTGTTGACAATATTTTATATACATTTTATGTAATGGTTTATTTCTATTTTAATCGCTTAATATGACGTTTTATACTAATAATGTGATGCTCCAATTTCAGTTCAGCCTCTGGCTGCCATTTTTTGGGACAGTGTTGTTGTGTTTTAATGCAAATAAACCATTGATATGTATAAAACCGAGTACATACATGGACCATCAGAAATACCTGTGCAGCCCCAATTATACCTGTACAACCCTGCAAATGCATGTGATATTTCATAATGCTAGAGGTAATAACCAAGGTACTAACCATGTCTATGTTACCGCGTGTAGGCAATGTCCTAAGTACTGACCATGTATCCATATTGTTGTTTCCAGGGCTGTATGCTGATGTTCCAGAAGAGAGCCAAACCCTGCACACACTGTAAGGACCTGCGATCAGACCAGACGGTCATCGCTCAGGTGGACGGAGGAGACTTCAAGGAGTTCTGCAGCTCCGAGTGTGTCATCAAATATGAGGAGAAGAGATCCAAGGTGGGTCTCTGATCTTCTTCAGTGTGTAGAGCTGTGCACAGGTACAGTCTGGTCTGTAGAGTTGAGCGCACATACCAGGGTTCAAAATTCAAATTTTTCTCTCACTGGTCAACCTAAGCCTAAAACTAGGTTGCCAAAGTTAGGTTGCCCAGCAATATTTTAAGTTGCTGTCAATACTGGCTTTTTATCTACCGTATAGAAGGCAAGCTGTAAGCCAGTCCTACTTTAAGTTTGTAAAGGTATCGCTCACATGCTGGCTTGGTGACATGGTGGGACACAGCAGCCACTGTACTTTGGATGAAAAAGAAGATAAGTTGCACATAATCTGGTGTCTCACACAGAAAGCATGACTTACATTACGAGAGTGGGTATTTCGAACCCTAGGTACAATGTGTTGTATCGGTACAATTGATAACCAACATCACAAATGTACTGCTGTCCTGTTATACAGATGCCTGAGCCTGGGAAGTGTTGGATCTGTAAGAGCACTGGAAGAGTCAAACATGAAGTGAACTACCAGGGTACTGTGTACCGACTCTGCACAGACAAGTGTTTCCAGGTATGCCAGCACCACTGGAGTGTCCAGTACATCTTCCTGGTGTGTCTATAAGGCTGTACCAATTTCATTTGTTGGTTCTCGGATTTACTTGAAGATATATTCTAAACTAGAAAAACATATTTCGCCCAACCCTCTGCATTTTTTATGTCAACTTGCAATATTTTTCTTGAAATGTCTGAGAATTACAGAAATATATTGGTATGGTGTAACTGACTTAATAAAAAAACGTGATTGTTTATGAAGAAAGATTAAACTGTAATTTTTCCAACACATAAACTTGACATTTTGCACTCCAGTCTTTGTCAAGGAATGAGCAATCTATGCTTCTGTGATGTAACGTAATGCAGATGACACACATGACTCGGTGTGCAGTGAATCATAGGAGGTAATGATTCCTACCAACACAGACGAACTTATTAATTAGTCAAGTTAAGTTAAGATAACGTTCTTCTTTCCCATGCCCCAGATGTTCCGTGTGGCCCACAACCTGAGCATGAACTGCTGTGACCAGTGTAACCAGTACATCTACAACCAGGAGGGACAGGCTCCACAGAGCATGCAGTTCGAGGGGCAGATGAAACGCTTCTGTTCCAACATCTGTGTCAACGCATTCAAACAGGTCAACATGCTATTATTGTGTTTTTCTAAAGTTTTTTATTGTTTTTCGAAACAGATAATGTCAACCCACAGCATAGAGGCAAATGGCAGGCTGGCATCAAGCTTCAGCATCAGTGTGCAAGCATGTCTAACCATCGGAAGACAGGGAACAACAGACGATAAACCGGATAGTGAGTGATTGAGTGAAATGACATCCCAAGAGAACAGTCTAAGAGCCTGAGTGTTTCATGGGGAGGACTTCAAACTGCTGAAATCCCTCTATCCCAAGGGTCTATAGATCTGAAACTTTTTGTGTACCATCGTATATGTTTGATAGACAATTGACTGCTTTTGTTAGCTTGTAGAAAAGATTAAAGCATTGGAACTGAGGCAGCTATAGATGATGGGCAAACTATCTTTTAACTTATGTTGCTAACCAAATGTTTTCCCAATTTGCTGTCAACAGAAGAACCGTAAGTCCGTTGTGTGTGGCTGGTGTAAGCTGGCCAAGAGTAACTTTGACATGATTGAGCGAGTGGACACGGGAGGAAAAGTCACCATGTTCTGCTCTATCAACTGTCTCTCCTCATTCAGGTGGGTCAAAAACTCAGCCTTCAGCGATATTTGTTCTAAAATCATCTGTTGTGACATGTACTAGCATTTTATTAAAATCAATTTCACTTTTTAAACTGATGTAAAATCAGACAGGATCTTTAAGTCTATTCGATTGACATACCTACTTAATGATTCCACTATCGTTTAAACTGCAAGTTACATCAAGTTTATCGATAGTTGTAAAGAAATATTGAATTCATTCTGAAAGCTGTATCACATTTTCTCTGCCAGTATTGTCCTCTTAGCATTGTTCTGATATTGTTGAGGCTGGGTGGCATACCAGAGTTATCAATTGGGCTTTTTGTAGGACGGCGATACCATACATGATGGTAACAGTATGCGGCTTTTTTCTACTGTTGAATTCTTGTTTCTATTGGTTAACTCTTCTTCCCCTCCATCTGTAGACTAAAGCAGAACATGGATGTGGGGAAGAGCATCCCGTGTAACTTCTGTGGGAAGACTGCCCTGCCTCAGTACCACCTCACCATGAGTGATGCCAGCATTCGTAACTTCTGCTCCTACTCATGTGTCATGAACTTCCAGCAGGGCTTCAGTACCAAGGTGGGCATGTTTATCAATCTACAATACAAGTGTTGTTTTACTTCACCCCATGGGAGAGAAGTATTGTTTTTAGCATGTCTGTGTGGACATGTTTGTGTGTGTGTGTTTGTGTGTGTGTGTTTGTGTGCGCCTACATGCTTGTGTAGTGTGTGTGTGTGTGTCACAGTGTGTGTGTGTGTGTGTGTGTTTGGCACGTGCATGCAAGTGTGTGCATGTATGTGAGTGCTTTATATGGAGATATCTAGTTCTGTGACATCTTATAAAACAACAGTATATGTTGTTAAGAATTATAAAGTACAAATTAGTCACAGACCTATCCATATATAGATCCATAGAATATACTGGTCTTTGCAAGATTGATTAATTGTCATTACTCTTATTATCATAATTTTACCAATAATCATGAGAGGACCTTTACAGAAGGAAGAATGCAGTGAGAGATGAAATGCTTCACCCCCTTACCCATAGTGCTTTGCGACCCTTCCAGTCCCACATATAAAATAGCTGCACTGACTGACTGAGGATGTGTAATGGCAATGCTGCTTTGTGTATAGGGCTATGGCTGCTAAACAACTGTACCTGAACAATTTGACAAAGTAACCTCTGATCTCCAATGATGACAGAAACATGAATAATCAGTTAGCAGTAAGGTTATTTTGGAATATAGGTATCTCACGCAAGAACCTACACTTACAGTCAGGAAAGGTTGTACTGATTTCAACACATATACACTCAGTGTTTTTGTCTTTTTTGAATGTAAAATTTTTTACCATTTTCGCATGCGCGAAAATGGTAACTCAGACGAGATTGAGATTGGGTGGATGGATGGATCAACGGTTCCACCCTTCAACGGCCATGCAGACATGCTAAGTCACCGCATGTCGCTAGATGTCGTTGTTGCGACGGCCATGCAGACATGCTGAGTTGCCGCATGTCGCTAGATGTCGTTGTTGCGAGTGCACTTTTTACCATTTATGCCTTGGACGTTTGTATACTTTCCATTATGGTTGCTAATTTCAAAATCATAGTTCTATTAATGTTGCATAACAAAGCTGCTGACAAAACAAACTTAATTTGTCTTGAACAATAACTTGATTTTATTATTTGCCAAAAATGTTGATAAAGACATGTCTATAGACATGTCTATCACAGTAATCAATGATTTTGATAAACTGCATAAATTATGTCAATGAGCATTAGCAGTGTGGATTAGTCTAGATGTTCAGATTTCCATTAGCCGGCAGTCCAGAGGGTCACACGTCCGACCAATCAAGGCGCTGCAGGCAAAGCTTATTAAAAGCCTCCTTTTCAGGCGTTCCCGGATCGGTGTTTTTGTGTGTGTGGTGTTGGGGTGGGGGGGGGTAGTTTTCTGACCAAACGTAGATCGCACGCAATAGAAGCTCCGGCCTACATAGCTGTCCGTGGAACTATTGATATTACCTGGGTGCCTAACTTTCACCAACATGTCCTTTGTATTTTAGGAAATTAATTAATTAATGAGTGAGTGTTTAATTAACTTAAATAGGTATTGCATTGTTTGGCAAGGTATTTTCCATTGACAATTTTTAATGGATCAGGTTGATCAAATGATATAATGTAAACAATTATATATGATTAGTAAAAGATGACTTTTGAAGTTCTCTTCGAGTATTATTTTAGGGTTGAATCAGGGTCAACGCGAAAAAAAATCATGATCCGGTGATCGACATCATGCCCCCCCGCACACTTCATGTATTCAGTGTTCTAAATACCCGTCTTCAGTCTGCAATTTGCAGATAGATTTTCAAGATTTCAGGATAAAAATTACACAATCTGCAATTTGAAGAATGAAAAAAAACTATGGTCCTCACAACTTCATATTCCCTTTGTTTGACCCGCCCGGCCCCAAATCCCGCTGCGATTCAAGCCGCGGCGGCTTCCCGAGCCATGCAAATAAACCTAGTCCTGACGCCACAGCCTCCGATTTCCACCGAGCCAGCCCCGAGCGCATGCCGACAGCGAGGGATGTGGCTCAGATTTCCGACGATTTCCTTATTTAGATCATTCGGAAGACTTCGGGTAGCAAACAAAATGGCCGCCATGCACATGATTTTATACTAGTAGCTTCGCTTCTCAACCGAAATGAGGAAGTTTAACCTCATTTGCAGACTTTAGCGGCCATGGAGTTGATTTGGGGAAGTGCTGAGACGCGATTTCGCTACGGCATATGGGATTTTGCCGCGGAGGGAGTTACGTACGCCGGCAAAAACTTGCTTCAGCGATCGGCTCCAGAAAATTTATCTTTATGCTGCCGCTCAAGTCTTCGAAGGTGGTTTAACGAAGTTTATATAAATAATAAAGCCACTTTGCGTAGATCGATCTCCGTTTTCTTGCGATGGTATGAAAATTCAAGTACAGTATATTTTCAAAACGTTTGATATTTCTTTGTTCGTTGCCACATGTTGTTTATTTATCTTATTGTCATGTACAGTTACCAGCGTGAGTCTGAGTCGAGCCATTGTTCTTATGTGGCCGTTAGCACATGTTGTTTAAACAGACAGCAACATTGAAGAAAAGAACCGAGTTAACAGACATCGGCACGTTCCTTGATGTCAGGTTTCCCGCCGTATTTAAATAAGAAATGTGTGGGCCCGCGGCGTTTTGAAAAGACGCGACGCGCTTTGGAAAGACCCCGCGCCGTGGCTCATTCAAATTCGCTACATTTTTTGCTAAGTTTAATGTCTTCACCCACGATTTTTGACCGTCAATGTTGACGGTAAGGACTTAAATTTTTACCGTCCGACGGGATAAAATACCGTCAATTGACGGTAAAACGGGCGCTGGCTAAAGCCCTGGTTGAATGTCACGAGGTTTGTAAACTTAGATGTTGGGGACAAAGCCATAGAAGAGATTTTGAATAAAATTATATATATATATATTAACGTTACTTATAATTTAAGTTAAAATGTACTTTTGTGTCTCATTTTTTAATTCTGTTAAAAAGACTCTTAACCCTCAACAGTACACCTTCCCGGACTGATTAATCTGTACACCTGGGGTCCGCGCGGACCCCAGAGCAGTTTTTTGCTAATTTTTAGAAATTATCAACATGCTACCAGCTCAATTGTTTTGCAAACTGATGTGGGAACCTCTGTGTCCACATTACATACAAAAATCATAAATTTTGAACTTTTTCTATTTTTTGGTGAAGAAAAGGAGACAAGAAGAAATACCCGATTTTTTAACCCATTTCCGACTGAAGGGGCTTTTGAGGCCCAACTTTGATCTCAGATAGCGGACTAAACGGCTTGCGCTAGAAGTATCAAATTTGGAGACCTTTCCTAAAATGTCTCTGGAAAAAAGTTCATATTAGTTTAATACTGGTAAGTTGATGTTTTTTTGTGTTGCCATGGCAACGGGTTTCTAACAGGCAGTTTGTTTGAAAATAGAAGTAATTTTGGTTTAAACATAAAAATTTTCTGAGTTTATATTAAATTACTACTTCTTTTCCAACATTAATAACATCTTACATAATTAAATATAAGTTAAATCATTTAATATGCATATAATATGCTAATTTGATTACGTCATTGGTCAAAATCCAATATGGCGGACTATATTATTAGCTCTGACGTTAATGACGTCATAATTACACCAAAGTTATTAAAATTTAATTCTATTACTACACCATTCTCTGAAAACTTGGTAGACATACGATGAGTGCATAAAAACATATAAAAACGGAAATAAGGTAATGTATAAGAACGCCAAGTGTATCCATTATGATCGAAAGCCGGCTGGGGTCCGCGCGGACCCCAAAAGAAAATCAGATATAATTTTTTGTATAAATGGTAGAAACGGAGTTTTCTGCACTTTATTGAGAGACAACTTTGTGGGTAACAATTACCTAAAATTTCAGAAAAAAATCTTTAGAAACAAAAAAGATATTACAGAATCTATAGTGCTGGGGTCCGCGCGGACCCCAGGTGTACTGTTTAGGGTTAAAAGAGAGAAAACAGGTTATAAACTGTTATATACTTGATTTTTGTAATGTTTTAAACTTAAAGAGTTGAAATATAGAAGTGCATGTTCTCCCATTATATACAATGTTGATGAGAACTAGAACCATTTATATAACTTAGGTAAATTGAAATGCTAGGATGGGGAAAATGTTCGTAAAAACTGTAAGCCTGTAAGCGGCGAAAATGGTCAGCTTTTGCAGAAGCACTTGTTTTCTTTGTAGTAGGACGTACTTATGCACACACCCACAAACACAGACAACCCAAAAAACAATTGTTCACTCCACTGGGGTGAAGCTTGTCATCTTTGCAGTAGGATTTCGATGCAGTAGACAGAATGACCAAATACATTGTTATTTATACTTGGAGCTTCATCCACATGTTAGTAAGTAGGCTGAAAGTCAGAATGCGCCACATGTTTTGAAAAAAGAAAAAACAGCAACTGAATGTTCAGTATTCAGATAAGAATCTCCAACTGTTTGTACCTATTCAATTGAGCACCTTTGACAATTTTTCGGCACTTCTGGACAGAGAGAATCATTTTGGCACAAGTATTGATTAGAGATTTTCAATCTGTCGTCACAAGTCGGTTCTCACTGGCGACACGGCGAAGGGACCAGAACCTCACAACGCAGAGGATCGCGAACGCAAAACAAAGGTATGACATGTCATCAAACAATGTAGCTTTGTTTTTAATCCTTTGTATTTGATACTTTGAATGATACTTAATTGGGATATCCATTAGTTGCACAAATTTGTGTGCAACTAATCTTCCTAGATTCCAACAATAACACAAAACAAAACATTACACAAACTTCACAATCATATAAAAACAATATCACTTAAAACTCTCCAGTAATTACGTCTTTTTTTAAATAAAATGCCCTTTCCATTTAGGCGATGGAACTAAAAATGCAGAACAGAGAGCGCATGGAAGCCAAGCAGAAACAAGAAACAGAGTCTGAAATGCAGTGGAATATCAGGTCACTATTGTCATTTCTCAAATAACAAATAATAACAGATATAGAAAAAAATTGATTGCTTTGTGTAGTAAACCAATCAGAGCCATTAATTATGAACCTTATTACTTATTGAACATAGAGAGACAACATGATACTTATTGCATTTCCTATATTGGTCAGGTTGGCTCAAGACCGCGAGAGAATGGCAGAGAGACTTGAGCAGCGAAGGAGACAGATGGTCCAAGGCGGGAACAAAACTTCTCAAGATTCGTCGCTCGCTGGCGATGTCTATAATAAGAAGAGGCAGCGGGCAAGTTCTGAAGAACGCAGGGCGAAGGATTCCGAACGCAAGAAAAAGGTACAAAATGGAATCAAATTATTGACGTTTGCTTTTATTCCTTTGTATTTCATATCAAACTATTAAGTTATTTTGTGTGTGATGGTAATGAAATGTTCTTTCCATCTAGGCTTTGAAAAATGAGACACCAGAGCAAGCAGAACTACGCAAGAGGAAGAACAAGGAACGGATGGAGGCAAAGCGGAGACAAGAAACAGATGAGCAGAAGGCTATCAGGTCGGTAATGTCATCTAATGAATAACAGATAATAACAGTTACTGAAAGTAATCAATTGCACTTTATTATTGGAGCTATTAATTATGAAAGTTCATCTGTGTTGGTAGTTACATGTTTTAAGTTAAGGATTGTTCTCACCTAGAGATTTCAACCAGTCACTCTGGTCTTCTTCTTGGACCCAGTGTTGAAGTGTCACTTTAGAGAAGCCACATGAGATGTTTCACTGGGTCAGTCTATTGAAGAAGACCAGAGTGACTGGTCGAAAGCTCTAGGTGAGAAGAATTTCTTGTGTTGGAACAAAAATCTTAACTTTAAACATTTAGAGTTTTTAATTGGGTGATATTATGTCAGCATAATTATCAAACATCTCATGTCCCTCAGGTTGGCACAAGAGAAGGACAGAACTGCAGAAAGACGTGCTAAGGAAACACCCGAGGAGAGAAGTCTGCGGCTGGCCAAGGTTCGAGATAAAACAGCAATAAGACGTGCTAACGAAACCCCAGATCAGCGAAGCCTGCGACTTGCCAAGATGCGAGATAGAACTGCAGAAAAACGCGCCAACGAATCACTGGAACAGCAAGTAAAAAGGTTGTCTCGAAACAGGAACAACGTGGCAGAAAAACGAGCCAACGAAACGCCCGAGGAGCGGAGCCAACGGTTGGCTAAGGTTAGAGAGAGAACTGCAGAAAGACGTGCCAACGAAACCCCTGAGCAGCGAAAAGTGCGGCTGGCCAGGAAGCGGGATGAAGCAGCGCTAAGTCGTGCCATCAGAAGAGCAGCCGAGACAGCTGCTGTCCAAAGTGTAGAAAGCCTGACCAATGAAATACCTCATCAGTGAAGGAAAAGCTACCAAAACAGGAACAAACCAAAAATGTGTGCAAAGAAGACTCCGTAACTGAAGAAATGTTACAACTATCTCCTAGTTTTTATTGTAATCTTGTACAATTACGTAATTTCTCAAATTGATAAGCAATCTGTTGCATCTGCTCATATTCATGTTTCTAAGACTCATGTCAAATGATGAATGACTTAATAAGCTATTATTATTATCATAACTTATTTTTTTAATATACATGTAGCTGTTCTATAATGTAGATTGCAAAACTCAGTATACTTTTTGATAATGATAACAAATAATGATAAATGACTGTGAATAAACTCACAAGTTTATTACCCTTTTACATGAGAGTGTAATGAATCACAATAAGATAAGAATAAAGCATTGTTACTTCTCTTAAAGGAGCAAAGTGTTGTTTTCTCAAGTCTGTCTTACCTTTCCTTGTGTTATTGGTTTCATTAACATGTAACATACATTTGTATTTGATTTAACAACAAAGAAATAAAATTAAAAATGATAAACTTTTTGCTTCTTACCAGCAAACACAAAGAACACATTTTACATAAATACAGGGTTTCAAATGCTGTAAAGTATTTGACTCAGGAACCTTCAGCATTTCCTGACCATTGGCTTCACAGCAAGTATTAGTACACAATGTCATGTAGTGTTACATAAAGGATGCCATCTCTGACTGCCTTCTCTTTCTGTAAAGGAACTTCCATGATTGTTGGTCAATACCGGTATGAATGTTTGTATGGGATGAACGTTGTTAAAACCATGACTATTTTGTAGTTGGTATGAAACTCCAGTATGATCGGTGGTATGCGATGAATGTTGTTAAAACCATGACTGTTTTACCAAACAAAGGTGCCAGTGCCGCAGCCTCCCAAACCCCCAACAGGCCCCCACCTGACCTGTCCCCAGTGCAAGCGCTGGTTCAACAACAGACCGGAGACGTTTGAGTACAAGGGGAACCCCATGGCCTTCTGCAGTAAGGGCTGCAGCGAGGACTTCAAGAAGGCAAACTCTGTGGTGTGTGAGTGTGACTACTGCCACCAGGTGGGTCCAAGCTTCTGAAAAATACTGCAATAAATCTTTGTTTACTGAACGTGTAATATGCCGTGTAACGTGTCTTTATATGTCGCTAATTTGCCTTTTTTGCTTTTGATTTAGCTTGACAAATGTATAGAGAATGTTTTTTTAAATGTTTTGAAGTCAATTTCTGTTGCTTCATCAATTCAGCCTTCAGGATGTGACTGTTGTGATAGTTTATGTCATTTACTACATGTTGCTACAAAAGACAGTTACTCAAGGAACTAGACACTGAGGAAAGGTAGTGGATGCTACCTGAAACATTTCCAAACTCATACATGTATCCAGTTGCTTGAGTAACTGTTTTTTTGTTCGATCTTATTACCTGGATGTCTTACCTTCATTTGAAACTATGAGCATGTTGCATTTTCTCAACCTTCGAAGTAGTTAATATCCTTACGACTTTTTCTACAGGAGAAAATCCTGTACGAGTCCACAGTTTTCTCTGGAAGTACCAAGAACTTCTGCAGCGAGGGATGCAAACTGCTCTTCAAACAGGACTTTGCCAAGAAACTTGGTCTCAGGTAACCACGCTACTGTAATTAATTTTTTTACTGGGATTCAATCAAGACTAGCAATGGAAAGGAAGCCTTCACAGTGTTTTACATAATTATGCAGTTGAATTTTACAACATCACTTAGTCTTGGTGGTTCTAGTTGCGCAGTGTCTCTCATGACTGGCCTGGCCAATGCTAGCCCAGCAGATTGCACTATAATTTATTTGAATAATCTATTGTGCTTTTTTAGGACCTCAGTTCGGGATGACTGCTTTATCTAGTATTACCTTAACCCTTGTTCTGCTGGCATTTTTTACACAATATTTTCAAACAATTTGATGTCTTGATCAGGGTAAAGACCCTTGACTTTTTTTTGCCCTGCGGTGGTGTAGTTACTTTCACATTTGTTGCGTTTTGCTGCGGTGTGAAACACTCTCAAACCGTACATATACAGGGCGCTATATGAATTCAACTATATATATTGTGCAACCCAACAATTGTTGGGTGCCACAGGACTAGGGTTTCACTGTGTTTTTTATTGTCCTGCAGGTGTATTGTGTGTGACTACTGTGCCCAGACCTGCAGGAAGGGTCCCACCAAGACAGTGGAGGGGAAACAGCTGCACTTCTGCAGTAATGACTGTAAGGAGAAGTACACCATGTGGTACTTCGGTGTGGCCAGGTAAATACTCAACTAGTGTATCTGTATCTGTATAGCCGGTATAACCGCCTTTCGGCGTAACACACCAGCTTCGCAGGCACGCGGCGCGGCGGCAGCTGGCTATATTACACCGATCGACTTGTTACACCTAACCCTTGAACTTCTAGCTCTAGACATTGTTTAAAGCTATCTATTGACAATGCCCCTACTGTACTTGGTGACAGTGAGTTCCACTCTGCGATAGTTCTAGGAAAGAATGAATTCTTGAACACCTCAATCCTTGGTTGATAACTCTGGTACTTGAATGCGTGGCTATTTCTCTAGAGTTCCAGGTGCTACAGTCAAACTATTTCATTATTTGTCCTTTTTGGTGTTTAAGAGCTTTTCTAAACTTGCTGCCACCAATTACTGTAGGGACATCATCACTAGATAACTTTAAACAATGCTTGCAGTTGTAGATGTGCTTAGGTGCAGTTAGATGTGCTAAGGTTAGATGTGACTGGTCATTTGTTGTGATATACAAATGTAGCCAGCTGCCACCATGTTGGTGTGTTATGCTGAAGGGACGTTAAATTGGCTATACAGATACAGATACAGCTACAGATACAGATTCTGAAGCTGGTGTGTTATGTTAAAGAGAGCAGTAACTGTTATATATTGGGTATACCAGTCCAAATACAAAAACTGGTTTGTTATGCTGTTGAGCAGTTACTAGTACATTATATATCAGTTATACAAATCCAAACGTTTTCTGACATGCTGTGTGTTGTTGCAGATGTGACGAGCGTAAGAGGCAGGGGAAACTGCTGTATTAGTAACGCTGAAAAGCTGTTACACAGGCTATACAGAAACTAAACTTTTCTTACATGCTGTTTGTCATTGCAGATGTGACGGGTGTAAGAGACAGGGGAAGCTGTCGGAGAAGTTTGTGTGGCGTGGTGAGATGAAGCGAGTGTGTAACCAGACCTGCCTGCTCCAGTTCTACATGCAGCAGAACTTCCCCAACATGTCCACACAGAAGGGACCTGAGAACACATCGCTGGGGGGTCAGTCAACTCAGTGTTTCTGCCACCTCTACAGGACTAATGTCCTCAGTTTCCCCAAATGATATTAGCTTATCACTAATTATATGTGGGGAGAGACAGTTGGAATGTTTTCTGATATGCTGGTTTTTTTATCTGACAGCGCTCTATTGTGATACATGACATTGTATACTGTTAGAAAAAACAGCAGATGAGAAAACATTACAATTTTTTCCCCAACATCTGCTTGGAGATTACCTCTTGTTAGCCAAATTACAGTTTTGTACAACTATTTCTACAGTAGTAAATCCACTGTATGTCTTCAACAATTATCAATTCTTCTACACTTTTATTTTACTTTTCTGCACTGTCTTCTGTTACTGCTAACTCTTCTTGTTGCTTCTACATTCTTTTCATCTTAATTTTTATCACGACAAGATTTCTACCTTCTTGTGTTCCTCAGCCCCCCATCAGCTTCTCTTCAACCTCCCCTCCTCCCCTATCTCTCCCCCCCCTCC